TGAATTAGGTAAAACAGGCTTTCTAATAATGAAGAATATCGATTATTGTATTCCATCTCAAAATGTACTACATATATCTTACATTATATTTAATCCTCAGAACTAAATGAATATTTCAATGCGTTACCAGTAACACAATCCAAGATTTGGTCAGAGTGTAAGTTCATTTAAAGCTAGCTATATTACGTAGTGGTTTAGAAATCAAATCAACCATTTATACAGAATACGATTCTGTTTAATATTAGTCTCTTTTAATTTCAAAAAGAATCAACACAGATGTATTTCTGAAACTGCAATAAATCCATATAATGCTTTGAAATCCAGAATATTTGAGAGGAGATAAAGAGTTGATACATCAGTTTTAAGCCTCATTGTTCAGCATCTCCAACCAATGATTACGCTTATCGAGCGGATCCTACCTTGGTAATATGATTCATCACATCTCGCTCACTACAATACTTAACGAATTGACTGACTGACATTATATCATGTCTAGCCATCCTTAGCTTTTTTTTTAAAACACATTTCGACGTCTGTCTGGATAGTCAAGTAAGTTGAATTATAATTTTACATTCTTAAATGACCGATATTTACACTTTTTGATAATTGGCATACTGTTTAATCGTTCCCATCTTAACTAGTGCGAACTTTTTCCTGTCAAAGAAATCCCACAAAATATAGTTATTATGTCAAAGAGTTTCTTATACACCAAATGAAAGGTATATGGTGAATTTTATCAACTAAGTATGCGTTATCGACGACTCATCAATTTTCATTATTAAATACCAATCTTTCGATTATATCAGTAGTATGAAATAAGCTTTTTAAATTTCACAGAACAAGTGATTAGGAACTACACATACAAAATAAAAAGTAAAATATTTTCACAAATCCATTGTCGAATCAGGTTCAAGAAAAAAGTCAATTAACTATCTTATTTCAAAGTAAATGTCATGATGAGTCATTTGTTTAAATGATTTATTTTTTGGTTGTTTATCTCACTTTCCTGGTCTGAATCCCCGAGAATAAGGCAAGAGAATTAAAAAAAATAAAATAGTGATCTAACTGAAATATGAGTTACCTCAATATTCTCATTAAAACATTTCTTCAGAACAAACAAAAGTCATCGATTATGGTGGTAATTGTGCTTGCTACATATAAATTTTTATATCATATTGATTGATTACCAGTTCTTTGGATTTATACGTTCGTAGCAAAAATTCACTAAATATACTTACAAGTTTAATATTATGCAATCAATGTAAGGCCTACTCCTAGAATTTTTCATTTTTTAACCTTCTTTATTACATCACCATCATCAAGATCATCATCATCGTTGTTTTATTTGTTATGTACTATTCAAATACACTAAATGAACCACTTCGAACCAATTAACAGTTAATAATTATCAAGTAAAAAGTGATCATTTTATCGGATTATTAAGTAATTTGTCTGTTAACTGATTCAGTTTTATATAAGATTGTCTTTAAAGAAAATTAAGTCTAAAAGTAGATTGTAGCTTTTAACTCATAAACTAACTTAATTAATACATAATGTATGTGGATTTATTCTTATGTATACACATAGTTAAACAAATCTCAATTAATAAATAATGTTTTATTATTATTATTTAAAGGATATATAAATTTATTTTATGAGTAAAGAAATTCATGAGAACGTTTCAACTGTTTTTATTTATGGAAAATTGTCATTGATACTAATGAGATTAATAAAACTAATAAATAATTCACTGTTTAAAGGTTGAATTGTGGGACTACATGTAGATCGATAAAACCGTTTCATATAGTTGTAAACAAAATTTCTAATTGAAGTCTATCAAGTAACTGTATGTTTGGAAGTCTGGAATGATAAAGCACTCTTTGTTCAATATTATAATATATCTTCAGTTATAGTGTGATTTCATCCTTCATTCTTTAAAATTATTTGATCCTTTTTAATTATATAATCATAAGTTAATTTCCTATTGTAAATCATACTAATAACTATTTTCACTTTTCATTTCTCTTCCAAGTGAAATAAGTACAGAATGACAATGAATACTTCATACTTAAATTATCTAACTAAAGAGATACAAAACTATCGAAACATCCATCAAGGCTATAAATCTTCTTCCTCTATTTCAAAATATTTACAATCGATTTCTGTTCATAATCATAATACATCCTTTGAGTCACAATTGATTGATCACTGGGTGGTGATCAATGTCATGCTTGTCTAGTCCTTATTAGTGCAGATCGAATGCTATCGATTATGTTGCAATGTGGCTACTAGTCTACGTGACTCGACACTGCGGGCACTATGTATTGAGATTTGGATGATAGTTCGAGGTAGTCAACAGGAAACCCTGGACCCAGGTTTCGTGCTACTTGGCACCCGGGTTCAGGGTTTCTTGTTGACTACCTCCAACTACCATCTACATCCTTTGAGTGTAAGATACGATAACTTAAATTGATATATATACACTTATAACAAATCTTACGTAAGACTAATTAAATTCTCACTGTTTCTCTGTCTGTAAGGATATGATTGTATATAATGAATAATAAAATAAACTTGCTTTCACTTTTATTTACTATTAAGATTAATAATGGCAATTTGATCAATATTATTAATAAAACATTAACATATGAGATGATTTATCATGTGGTGGTCTCCAGTAATAGTATAAAACCAATTAAAAACTTACTATTTTTATTAGTTTTAATTCATTGTTATTACTATTATTTATAAATTGTTTATATTTATATAAAATAAAGTAGCAAATTTGAAGATGCGATTAATCAAGTGTTTCTCTATAAGATATTATTATTGTTATTATTTTATTAAAAGAAAATACCTATCAATTTAACTGATTATAACATTCATATATTATTCTACATTGAATATACACTGATGATAGTCAATAATAAATAGATTCAATGAGATATGTGTTTTTTTCTATTAAAAAAAGTATACTGATTAATCAACCTACTGATAATTGACAAAATGTTTTATTATTTAACAATTATATATGAATGCACGAATACAGTACAAAATAGTATTAGCTGTTATGATATTTATGTTAAAATAAATTTAATGATTATTGACATTCCAGTTCTACTTGTTGAGTTGTGTGCAAACATATTGTTTTTATTAGTTAAGTTGATGGATTGACTTTAGACATTTATCTAAATCAGGAAGTATTTTATAATTGTTTTGTGATAATAAAACACTCCTCAGTATTATTATTATTGTTATTATTATTATTATTAGTAGTAGTAAGCATCTTTGACCTCATTGTGGATTGAAATTAAGACTTTTATGTTTCAAGGTCAACACTTTACCTTTCGAACACTGAGTGGACCTGACTTTAGTTGACTCACAACATTGCCCAACCAACTTCTAGTTAAAAGGTAAATATCACACATTTGATATGATTAAACTTCACTGGTCAAGACTTATCACTTGAACCAAGGTTATTATCTCATGAAATTAGTCATAAGGAAGCATATAATTATTAGTAGCACAAAAGATTTTATCAGTCTCTGATTTCAACTAGAAAGTAAAATAATCTTCAAAAATCTTCCATACTTTGTCATTAGTTTCACTGTTGCTCTTGGACTTATGGTTCAACACTATCATAAGTTGGTTGAGGAGAATCATCACGAAAACTTTAAACTAGATTTTGTACATGTAGGTGTACATATAGACTAAAAAAAATGATACTACATCATAGAAAGAAGGTTATGTCAGTCAAACACTTATTGACTTAGAATTCCGTAGGTTCGTGAAAAACACATCTTGGTGTGGCAATACAATGTCATTGAATTGTGCTTCTGATGAAAGAAATGAACGAACGTTTGTGTTAGAAATTGTTTGGTTGACTGTTTCTTGATTAGCAGTCTGAGCTATTATCCTCGATTACATATCCTTATTTTTTAGTTTAAAGATATTCGTCAACTCTACTGCTTATAACCACACTATGAACTATATGTTAAAGTGGTCTATGACTGTAGATGAAATATATACTGTCAGATAAGTATTTAGAAAACATTTTTCTTGCAAGGTGTCGGAATAAAAAGAACAGCTAATTTATTTGAAGGTATACCAGCTCTTCAAAATCTACATTCAAATCTACAGACTGTTGGTAGTCGTGCTCAATTCTTACTCATTTTATTGATTAGTGTACTTTTTCGTCAAAGGCAACTATATCGAAATGTTGTATATATGTGTTAAAATGTTTTTAAGCATCATAACAATTAATGTCAAATACGTAAGTGTGCAACTACTTGAAATTTAAAAAGATCAGCTATTATTGCTGATATAATGTTAAACAAGTAAATATCATGGGACATTAATACATTAATAAATTGTTAATCCGATTTTTATATGAGTAAGCGTTTATAATAGCACTTATTATTACACAGATTACAAATGAATGTATATATTACTGAGTTGTAAACATAAGTTTATACATCAGTTATTTGTTAAAAAGCCAACCACATGAGAAATAAACTATTTCTGTGGACAAACTGTTCTGTAACTGGATAGTCTATATTGTTAGAAGTTGGATTACACACATGACATGGGGGGCTGGTCAGTCGTAGTATAATAATTTTAAGAAAAATATCAACTCACCTCATAATTCTATTTTACATATAGTACTACCTAAGCTAACTCAATATGTTATCAAATAAACCAGTAATCGTCTTTATTTTAATAAGCGTCTGACAACTGTCTCGAAACGACTCAAATAATTTTGTTTACTTGCCAGGATATTCATTTTAACGATAGGCATACGGTACATGGAAGTTGATGACCTATATATTTTGAAATTTGTTATCTTCAATTCTTTCTTATGATTTACATAATACTTTTATTCTGGCAAGAAAGAAAACATGTTATGAGGAGATAAGTGGTTGAACTTGTCCTTAGATGACAAAAAAACTGAAGTTTAGGTAACTCTCATTCTAAAATTTTTTATCATCAATCTGACTTACTTGGATCACAAAATAGCATAACAGTATGCTCAGGAGTTTGATTAGCACTAGGGTTTGATTGACCTGTTAGAGACTGACCCACTCCACTATCCATACTGCTTTGATGTGAATGTTGATTACCAGGTTGGGGAGTAGTAGGTAACACTGTGCCAACAAGTCGTGCTGCAGCCGTATTTATGTTTGATCCATAAACTATACCGGAGTTAGCTGACAGAATGAATTGAGGTTGTTGAACTCTTTGTGTTTTGGGGATTTGTTGTTGATCAAGTAGCACATGATTGGAGTTATTTAATGCACTTGTGGAAGTAACTGATGCATTCAATCGTAAGCATTCAAGTCCTTGGACCAATTGTCCAGATGATGTACTAATGGAACCGGTAACGCACCCTTGTTGACCAGTATTTACATTCGAACCGCATAGACCTGTAAGTGAGGAACTTGATGATAGAATGCCACCTAAACTTCCAGGAATCCGAAGTTGAGTCTGACCCAAAGTTCCTGTTACTGTTGTTGTGGCTGTAGATACACCCGATGAGTTTGAACTTAGTATTACACCTGTATTGGAACCACAATCTCGACCACTGGACATGGAAACTGGCTGACTACAAGAGCTATACAACATATGATAAAAATTATGAATGAGAAAAGTAGTGAGAATAAAGTATATTTAGCATTTTATGGTTATAATTACTTATCAGTACGTGTGTAGCTCGCCCTTGAGATACCGAGTAACTGTAGAGGAAATAATGGAAACAACATAACGCAATCATATGTTTCTCGAACTATTACTTTGTTCCACAACAGGACTGTTTTTAAACCATTTGGAAAACTTCAAGGCGCATATGATTAATGATAATATTTAATTTCTCATATGAATTCAAATGCTTTGAATCCAGTTAAATTAGATGGTTGTAGCGTCTTACTGCAAACTAATGTTACGAACACTAGGAAGTTCTAGATTCGAACATATGCCGGTTTGTCAAAGCACCATATAGGTTAATCTGAAGCTAAAATATGAAGTAACTAGTTACATATTAGTTTTAAACTCTTTGTTAGTTGATCTTAGTTGATGAGATTACTGGAGACGGTACATTTTTATAAATACCAGGAAACAATGTACAAGGTATGAGATTAAGAATACTTAAATATTTTGACTTCATATCAATGAACATTTAACTTTTAATATAAACATATCTTAAATGAGTTATTCTTAGAGTTTCAGATTAAGAATATGACAGTTTTGAAAATAAGCTAGGTATCATAATTGTTTAGGCAGTACTGATAACGGACGTTTACATTATGATATCGGTGAAATAAACTGAAATTTAACTGTGAAAAGTAGTAGATTAGAATTTTGACATAAATTAACAGAAGAATTTGTTAATATAAATATACACATCTATTTGTATACGTTTGCTTGTCTTGAATATATAATCATTCTTATTTTCCAGTCATGTTGTTAGAAAACTTACAGTTACATGAATTTATCTGGAGCATATTAAAATGTATTTTGCTCATCATTATACTTGGTGATTTTCTACCTTTAAATTCAGTTGTTATGACAGTAACACGCAGTAGGTAACATTAAAAAGATAGATGTGTCATATAACGTTAATGAAGGCGTATTTTACACTGGTTGGGGAGATGGCTATTGATAAAGCTGATTAACTGCTCTTAACTTTTAAAATTAAACATAAAATGCTTATGATAACGCAGTGAACCAATATACTCGTACAGTTTCTATATTTGTATAAAAATAATCACATACATTTTCGTACTGCAAAACAGTTAGATTTAAGCTTAAATGAAGATGGGCTTAAGTAAACATATTTGAGTAGGATATCGAATACACATCAACTTAAAAACAGTTAAAAATCAGAGTAATCAAACGCAGGGTTTTTCCAATCTGGAACCTTTTAGCTGTGTCCACCCATAATCTTATACGGGATGGATCAGGAGACCTACAAAACTTGCAGTGAAAAAGATACATTCAGTTCATTTGGTAAAAGTTCACAAGTTCACATTTTTATCTTCATGAAATTCAATCTATAGTCTAATTCTCACTTATAATTGTCAGTGAGTTATTGAGTTACTTTCATATTTGCCGACTCTACGGATTACTAGTCCATCAAGTGCTTGAAATAGATATCTCGAAATCTATTAGCAGTAAACAAATTTTAAGTATATATTTTGTACAGTTTAAAGTTAATTTTTATCATAGACTGGCATAAGCATACGAATTAAGTTGCCAGGTAAAAGTTGTTCCATAAATGGAAAGGAAGAAGCTAATGCACAGTTGCCTAATAACAAAAACCACCAAACTACAAGTCAGAGGTCTGATCACTGGTGCGACCGTGGATACACACTGCTAGGGAGTTCTAAACTAAGACAGAAAGAATGTTCTGTGTTTCTTGGTTTCCAGTAATAACTCAAATACTATTAATTTGTGACGAACACAACATGTAAATTAAACGGGCTTCGTTTAAAACCCCATCAACTAAATTGCCAACTATATTTCCGATTTTAGATCAGGATTATTTTGCTTAAAATTTATTCATTTTTCAAGTTAATCACAAAAAGTGAAGTAGATGTTACAGTGATTAATAATGATAAGTAACTTGGATTGTGTAAGTGATTTGTTCCTAGAGAATCAAAACAAAGTTACCTTACACACATTAATCAAATAATATTCGCCTAAATTATCATTTTTATATTTCGAAATGCATACTGACAGTTGTTGTTAATTAATCATTGTGAAATGGAAAACATGAAAATCATCAAACTAATGAGATAAAATGGAATAAACTGTGTTAGTTCCTTTATTTTGTTTCACAGTTTAACTAGTGAAAAAATAATTTTATTGTCATGATTTCAATTAGGGTTCTGGATGGGACTAATTGCTCTTTTACATATACACTGTTGAAATGTTTGAAAGGAGAACAACAGGAGTAAGCGATAGCCCAAATGTAAATATCGATTAGCGTTGTCACAACTCGAACAAAGAGAAAGAGTAAAATAAAAGAAGGAAAGCAAAACATGTAAACGATAATCATAGTATTAATTAGAGTGGGAAATCAATTGTTGAACATATTATTCATTAAAAACAGATAAGTAAGAGAAATTAAAACCGAAGATCGAGTACAGAACAGAATATGAATGATTGTGAGATTTAGCTCACGTTTTCACGCACTGATTGTGATTGTCAAGATTATCTTATTAAAAAGATTTGCATATTTCTAGACAATTCGAATTAGTAGTTACTTATTTTAGGGACTTGGTTTGTGTGTTGATCTGAGTACTGTTTGCTTTTTAATAACATATTGTGAAGGGGTGGACGGTATTGGCTATACTACTCAAAAGTCTTGACTATCAAGTTGTTGGAAATTGACGTCTTCACTATTTGACTTTGTCATGTTTAATATCTTATGTTGAGTCACTCATATTTTGAAAGCATCTCTATAAACAAATTTTATTAGGCAGCTTTATTCAAGGTTACCATAGTCATGCAATTTCGAATTTGCTAGAAAGCAAATTTCAAAAATGTCAAATGATCAAGGTTCATCACAACTGAACTTCATACTATTAATAACTCGAAGACAGTGGATAAATAATTTTTGAGTAAACCTGTTTCATAAAACGTCCAGTAAAAGATGACAGTTTTATTCCATAAATATGTGTGGATATGAATATATATAAAGTGATTATTTTAAAGGAACCAACCGAAAATGCGTTACAAGCGATTGACTTGTTGGTTGAGATTGTACAGGGAGACCTTGTGAATGTTGTCGTTGATGTTGTATACCACCGGATGTTTGTAATTGTTCATTTACTTGATGTGAATGTTGATGATGAGGATAAGGCAACTGATTTGGATGAGAACGATGGGTAGCTGCAATATTTTGATTATTGTTGCCATCATTACCATTGTTACTATTATTACTGTTATTATTATTTACAGCAATAGTTGATCTTAGACGATTTTGAACATTTGTACAAGTCGAAGACGAATTCAATGGTAGATTATGCAAAGGAAGTCCGGATGTTGATGAGTTCGGTGAAACAGATATAGATGCCATGGGCGATGGTACTCCAGATTGGTTTTTGTTAAGGAAACCCGATGGTGATGATGCAGGAACGCAGGAGGTTGGACTAGACACAAGTGATGGTGATATTCGATCAACCTGATGATTTAAAAACAATTTAAAGAACGATAATTTATCGAATTTATTAGGATTATGTTTGATCTTGATTTTGATGCACTTAGACTGAGTTACGTCATTTAAAGCGAAAAACCACTTTAATTAAGTGTATACGTTTAGTAAGTAGATTTTTAAACAACTTTGAAGTTAACACTAAATGGATGCTTATATTCCATAGCACAGATAGCTCGGCTAAATCTAAATCATTGAGTTCAAGACAAAATATAATAACAGTGAACAAGTAAATTCATGGTGATTAGTCTAGACAATTATATATAAATTATTTGCATTTGTCAAGTCTACTTGTCATCTGAACAATCAAGAGTTGTAACGTCTGAGAATAACCTAGCTTTTTCAAATACAGATTAACCATTGGTGGCGATTATGTTGACGTATATAAACGTAATAAATATAAGTCGGTTTACTCACTGATCCTACTACACAAAACTTTACAGTAGATTATGTTAACTGTTGCTTGTATATTTAATTTTATTAGATGACGCAAGGATAGTACTATATATATTACTTTGAGTGCATAGTGACATTCAAACTTTAAGTGACTAAATATTACTGAATTAGTATTTATAGTGTTATTTACATAAATACTGTACAGTGGTGTATTAATTTTACTAGAATGAACAATAGGAAAAAGGTAATACAGACTAAGTAACCTCAAACTGAATTTTGGTGAATGACGTTTTTAGAAGGTGAACGAAAACGAGATGTATGAGCGATTACTGTATTATAAGGAAACGTAAACAGAATGCTTGGTGATTGAATGAACTGACTAACATTAGGGTCTAAATTGTTATATGAAGACAACTTTTGAGGACCCTTAAACAATATTTAGTTTAGTTGAATAAGAAAGCGTTAATATTTACAAAAATAATGATTATATTCTTTACATGCATCGAAATGTAAAGTTCTAATATCTAATTCATAAGCAACTATAAGTTCGTAATCGGTGAGTATGAGTAAAATTTATTGCTATTGAAGACTCTGGATACCAGAAATTCGGTTTCTTATTGTATAATGACGTCATTTAAATGTTTCAGTTTCACAGAGGTGCAACTGTCTAAAATAACTTATAAATCTGAGCGTCTTATTTTTTTACGGGAACTCTACTTGTTGTCAGTTTAAGGGACCAACTAGATAACTTCATTATCAGAAATCGAATTGTTTGTATTAATTTCAAATTTAACAACTTCGTAACTTGGGTTTGATGCATAATCATCAGTATTGTTCTCTACACACTTATGGTCTATTCAAGTTCTAATGGGCAATCAGTGTTTTGAGACGCCGTTTTGGATTTATTTTACATCCCTAATCTATATGTGCTTTTCTAATTTCATTTAGTCATATATGTTGGTGTATGTTTTATGAAAATATAACCGAGTTTTTTATCTGGTCAAGAGAAACCCTAATGCATGTACATTGTCTCAAACAATCTGTGTCTGGTTACAATATATTGTTAAGTAATAGGCAGCAATCTACAAAACAGTGTTTTTCCACAAAACAAACGTCGTCACGATTATGTTGCGTAGGAAAAGGTTAACATAAAAAACCACTTATTATAAATAACATAACAATGTATACCAGTGTCTAGTGTTTACTATTCATGCATTTCAGTACTCTGGTTACATCGTCTCCAAAATGTGCTGTGTGACATACTTGAAGCATATTTAGTTCTAGATTAATCAAATGAACGATAATTTATGATCATTCCAATTCTTATACATTCAAGAGTCGAAAACAGTTGTTTGTTATATAGTAATTTTTGTGCAGAGACATTTTAAGGGAAGATACCGCTTCAGTAATTGACTTTGACCATATCTATAGTGGTCGTTTTAACTTAATGGTTATTATATGCATATGTATCAATAGATGCTTTTGGACATCTTATTTTACTATAACTGCTCAAATTTATTGGTTTTTTAATATGTGAACACATTTCGTTGCCAGTCTTTTTATCAAAAACTAAAATCGATTGAAGAAATGTAGACAAAGAAATGGAAGGGTTGAACAATCGTATTTCTATCCACTGGTACAGTAGTTGCACTGTCACTATAAAACCTGAATATTTTATGTTCCTTTCCGTGAGTAGTTATAAGTGAACAATGTACGGGGGGATTTAAGTTCAAGACAAAACATTTGTCTAGTACCTCCTGGTTTTCAAAGGTTTTTTAAGCGACGTACGTTCGTCATGTCAAAATGTACATATATAGTTGAATATTAAGTTAGCTTAGTGCTACCATTACGCTGTAAATGATGATAGACAAACCAAGATAAATAATGGATTATTTGGGAAGTTGTGAAGAATAATTATTCATTTTTCTCTAAATGGCGCTTATTACACTCCCTACATATTTGTGTATTTAAAGGAAATTTGTTGATCCACCTTTGCAGCGAATAGGATTTAGTAATAAAAGTATTGTCGATAAAATAAGTCAAATCAAGAATATATTCGTCACATGGCTTATTTCTAAACAAACTATGACTCAGTGAAAATGATGAAGATCTGATTGATAAGCAACTAGCATTAGTTGGATATCATGGTTTTCTTGAAAATGTTTTGACAAATCATTTGAATTCTAAAGTGTAATTGTTAACAATTTCATGAATGAGTTAGTCACTACAAGCTATTGAGGACTCTACCTGAAAAATATATGTATAACTTCAGCATCACGTTTACGACTAAGGTAATAGGGCAATGTTGTATGAAAGTTGAAACATTCATTGATATTATTTTTTATGAGTAGTTGAAAAATGTTATAGGACGGGAAACAAAAAAGAACCTTTAGAGTTGGTCAAAAAACAGACTTTCTTAACTATTCGTAATTCTTTGTATTTTCTAGTATTCAATATTCAAGAATGTACACTTGACCAGTTTTTGTTAAGATATGAGTCCCTGGAGTAAATGCTTAAATATTACATGTAGGTGCTAGCTAGCTTGTCCAGAAGTGGGACCCAGGAGGCTAAAGGTAATATTGAGGAGTTTATGTCGTAACAGAGACTGATTAAATGAAGTCCTGAATATCAGACACCGGATGATATAGACACTTAAAAATAGTGAAAAATCTGTCCATTGAATAAATAGCTTGATGTATGTGTTCGAGTTTGAAGTGATCAGTACTGAGTTCGAGTCAAATTTTGAACATCAACGTTGAAAAGAAAGTTGCATCTAATAAGACGAAATACCCTACATCGTTGTCACCCAAATATAATAACTTTAATTAAGATTTAGAAGTAACCATTAACTAGAGTGTGTAAGTTCTAAACATAAGCCTACCTTTTTCTTCTAATAATAAAAATAAATGCCCAAAAGCCATTGAACTGTATAGGAGAAAATAATTTTGAATAAATGTTTCTAATAAACAAGCCATTTAAAAGAAATTGTTTTAGTGACTTCAAACTCTTCGAAAATAATATTAAAATGTAAAGTTAAATATGCTTCATATAATTAGACGCTGAGATTCTGCTTTGTTTTAGATATAAAAAAAACTTTAACTAGCCTAATATACGTAAAATTGTGAAGTTTTAAGAATAGTGTACCCCATAATTTTTCTTACAGATAACGAAAAAATTGTTTAAGGTTAAAGAAATTTATTTTGATAGTGACAGACATATGCTCTGATTAACGATAACTGTATTATGTACATACCATCTGGTTTTCTTTTAACATTAATCATTTTCTATCATATATACAATATTTTGAATAACAACCTTTATATTGCATTAATTCACCGGCCACTTTGCTATACAACTTAATAAATAATTTCAGAACTTGTTTTTCTATGTAAAAATAAAGTTTTATTGATTGTTAAAAGATTGTCAACTCACAGTATTGACAGTAACAAAGAATAAAGCGATTTAAAATTTATGGCATATATATATATATTTATTTATTTACAGCAAGAAACGCTTAGTTTCTAATATGCACATTAAAATACAGGCACATAATTAGACACGTGATTGTTATCATAATAACTGGTATGAAGGACTTAGTTTCAGCATTAAAAAAGTACACATTAGCATTCAAAGAGTAGAAAAAAAACGGTGATCAGTGCAAAAGTTAATTTTTATTTATGATTACAATATGATTTTTAAAATAAATCGGATTCATGTAACAATTACTGATAGTGCAGTATTGTAAATTATTTTTTGATCTATTCTTTGCAAAGAAAGATAATGTTGATTAGAATAAGATTTTTGTGTAAATAAAACAATGATACTGTGCTTGATATATTCACTTTTGTGAACGATAATAGTGTTCATATTGTTTTGAATTAGGATTACAATTAATGATTGTTACCTTCTATTCCTATTGAAATGAATAAGCAGTAGCTCAATTTTGGAACACCTCAGAAATTCTGGCCCTACCAAAATTTCACTTCAAAGTAATTCATACAACCAAAACATTTAGCTTAAATGAAAATTTTAGTAATCCATCGATTTAAGCTAAGTATCTGTGGATACAAACAAAATGTTCAGTTTCCCCTCTGATTGTTGTAGTTTTAAAACTAAGCAATCACTTTTTATTGCTGTTTTCTAACTTTTTAGTAGATACTACTTGTTACTATTGTAAAATTCAGTTATTCTTTTCTTGATATTCATCAAGTGAGTAATTATTTCTCATCTATATGCTATTTTCATTAGCCATTAGATAGTTAAATTCGATATTTGAGATTTCCCTAAAACTTAAAATACAATAACAGTATTTTTTAGACTATTTCATATGTTTTATATGATTAGGCGCCTGGCGCGAAACTGATAGGTCCTGGGTTCGGATCTCGCGAAGGGCGGGATCGTGGATGCGCACTGCTAAGGAGCCCCATACTAGGACGAAACGGCCGTCCGGTGCTTCCAGGTTTTCCATGATGGTCTAGCTTCAATTGACTCATGATTTCAACCAGTGATATTCCATATGTATTAAATCTATGTAAATATGATTGTACATCCTCAGTAAGTATTTTTGTTGCATG